TAGCCTTAACTCCTATATGCCAGTCACCTGCATTCTTTCCCGTCTTCGGTTTTATTGATTTGGTCATGTCCCTTGGCCCTGCTCGGCGAAGGGAGAGACTGCGATAGATGCATCGCAAGTCTAATCTCAGTTAAATCGAATTCACGCTAATGCCACTGCCCCTGCTCATTTTACTCTTGGGTACACGGTGAACCTTGTGGTATACGACAAACTATCATGCTTTCTTAGTTTCGTGGCTTCTCTTACGTTTTTCAAGCGTTTGATTTCAAACAGTTCTATTTCCTATGTTTGCTAATCTCTCCCGAAACTCTAGTAGCTTTTTTACATCCAGCAGAAGACGGCTACTTTCGATTTGTCTGTTTCGAAACTCGCCTACACTGATGGCTCCGGCAACTATCCTTTTTGGGTATTTATTCCGAGGAGTATGTTGTCCGAGATGTCAGCAGCTTTTTCAAAAGAAGTAAAATTCGCAATTGATTTAACTCAAATAGTGTGATTGACTTTCTTAATGAGAAACGGCAGACAATAATTAAACTCTTGCTTTGGCAAACCATTATTTCAACTAAATGCAGATGATTCCATACGGAAGATATTTGAGAATGTATGAAAAAAAACTCCAGAGGTGTTTGGTCCGAGAGTCGTACAGACACGCCTCGAACTAAACACCCAAAGCATGATAGCCTAGAACCGAGACGTCTAAACACGGCCGACAAAGATCGTGGGACAGACGACCTACAAGATTTATGGGCAGACATTCACACGTGCAGACGACGCGCAAGTGTTATCGATTTCGCTTGCCCACGCCGTAACTTTCGCTCTCCCCCCCCCCGAATGGCGCAGTCTTATGAGTGCACTGCTTTCTGTTGCGCTAGCCCGGTAGACTCGCGATTTTTTGCAACGTGGTTAAAGTTCTTCGCCTACGCCGTTCGTACTTTAGACAGAACACAGCACTGCTTCATACGTGCCGAGTACGCATCTCACTCGGCTATTGTGACTAGAGGGATAGG